ACCTGGATGATTTGTTTGAAGTATTAGCTCATGTTGAAGAAATTATGTTATGTTTAGGTTCTTCTTTTTATTGATAACAAAGGGGGAGAAATAGTTAAGTTTTATATTATTTATTATGTATGTTAAAAAACTTTGCATATATGCAGGGAGAGTAAGTATTACATGTGTTAAGCTTTAATATGATGCATAAATTATTTGTTATCATCAAAAAGGGGGAGAATGTTGAATATCATTTCTCCATGATAATGTTTTGATGATAACAATTTATATTGTGTGTGCACTAACTTTCATATGCAGATTTCAATATCAGAATATGTACAAGTGCAAGTGAATATCAAGGCATTTTGAAGTGAAGAAAATGAAGAACAAAAGATAATGTATTTGAATTTTTCTTTGCTTAGAATATTTGTACAAGCCTTGATCACACACACGCACACACACACAATTTTAGAACACACTAACACAGGCTTAGTGTGTTGGTTAACTATAGAAATCCCCTATGTTAACCATTAGAATAGTAGTTAAAACTTAATTATAAAAACTCATTATTTCTGAATATTTGATCTTAATAGTCGACTAATTAGGATAGTAGTCGACTACTCATGTATATAACTCAAATACAAGTTTCTGTCTTTTTACAGTATAGTCGACTAATAGAGATTATAGTCGACTACTGAGATGTTTGACAGAAACATAAGTTTCTGTCTTTTTACAGTGTAGTCGACTAATGACTACAGTAGTCGACTACTGAAGGAAAATATCAGTTTTCAAGTTTCTGTCAAATTTCAGTGTAGTCGACCAATGAGCATTATAGTCGACTACTGAGAACACTTTCTGAAAACACATAGTCTGTTTGAACTCAGTGTATTCGACTAATGACTACAGTAGTCGACTACAAGAGACAGTTTTTTAGTTTTCAGAATTTGAATATCTGACAGTTCTTGGCCGTTTTTAAACGTTTTTAATCTTTAAAAATTTGTCTTTTCAAGGGCTATATATAGGTTATTTGTTCAGAAAAATTGGAGATATATACATACCCATAAGCTTTGATTCTTGAGCAATTTTCCAAGTGAAAAACATTCTGATTTTCTGAAAAAGAAGAGTTTCTGAAATTGCCTATATACTTTCATCAAAAACAAATCAATTAGGTAATTTTACAGAGATTAAAAGAATCATAAGCCACTGCTGCACATTATTACACATTCAAGGCTTATAGGATCATTGTGTTCTTCTTCAACAAGTTTTCTCTCGGTTGTGAGAGGGTTAATCTCTTGGGTTAGAGATTGGTGTTCAAATTGGCAAGGAGTTTGTCAATTGGTGTTACAATTTGCAGGGACTTGCAAATTGGTCAGGTTTGCGTTTGATTTTGTAAGTTTATTCAAAATCATAGTGAAAACTCTCAAGCGGGATTTGCTTGGGGACTGGATGTACACCGGTTTGGTGGAACCAGTATAAAATCCTTGTGTTTGTGTTTGCAAATTTCTGAGATTGCCATTTTTCTTTGCAATTTATTATCTACTTTGCAATAATTTTAAAAGAACACTATTCACCCCACCTCTAGTGTTCAAGTGTATCTATTTCAGATCCTACATAACCTTCATTAATCTACGTAAAACTCTTCAAATTATAGTCTTCTGAAAGTCGTCAGATTGTAACTTCCATCATCGGTGTTTGATGGGAGATCAGCTATCTATTTTGATTTTTAGACAGCCTATAATCATTCTAGACGGAAATTCCATCTAGGATATTATCCTAGACGGAAATGTATCCTAGACGAAATAAAATACCATTTAGAATAGTTCTAGACGTGAAAAACAACCGTCTAGAATTATCCTAAACGGAATTTCCGTCTAGGATACTATCCTAGAAGGAATTTCCGTCTAGGATATATATAAGCATCCTAGACTGGAATTTTTGAGCATCCTAGACGAAATTTCCGTCTAGGATGCTACAGTAGGTTTTTTTTTGTGTAGAATCTAATTTGAGTGCATGACTTGTTGGCAATAATGGACATTTCAATTATAGGTTGAAACTTGGAAACAAACAGCGGTGCCACATAATATCAGTACAAGGTCATGGCGACAACAAAACTCCAGATGAACTATATTTCAACCCAGATTTAAAAAAAACTAACGAAAATACTAAAGACGTCTACAATGTTAAGTGAAAATACAAAGCTAAAGTTATACATAGACTTCTGTATAAAGTCGGGCCATGAGCTCCACATGAACTGGGTATATATGGATCGGTCCCTGGTAGGAAACAGGTCTTAGGGTTCGTCGCAGCAACCATGTGCTTTAAACTCTGCACTGTCCATAACAAAATGCGCTCACTCTATTAAGCATAATAATTCAAGCTGGATTTCTTCTTGGCTTGAACTTGAATGATGCCTTCATTGAAATCTTCGTGCATCACCTGAAGCAAAAAAAAAAAAAAATCACAGCAATATTGTAAATATTAAGTCACTTTTCTCTATCACGATCCATGCAAGTGCAAATGGCCATTTACATATGACTAGGATTTTTCTCAATTTTTTCCTAGGATTACCAAAATAAGAGAAAAGATAATAAAGGGAAGCTTGTGGTTTCCATTGAACTTCAATAAAAATTCACATATACTAACCTCTAGGTGTTAAAATCCCTTCACACTACCAAAACCCTAAGTTATGATGAGGGGGGAGGGTTATAATTTCATATCTTAACACGCACCGTAGGTTAAGTACAATCTTCGGTGCCCTTTTCTTCGGTGGAGTAGGACAGACAATCAAAATGAAACAAGTTAATATAGCTGTTGGCAATGATGGACAGACCTGAGTGATGACTTGTTGTCGTACAAACTTGTGGTGTTCAGGAGTGCGGTAAAACTGATCAGATAGAGCTCGAAACTAAACCAACATGCAAGAAACAAGTAAGATCAGTTAACAAGAGGGAAACGTCAAAATAGTCAACATGAAAAAAGAAGATTCTGGAGTACTTCAGGTTAAGACATCTTTGATATAGGATCAAGAAGTAATGCACAAGGCAATTGCGCTGGACATGTTAGCTCAAGCCAAGGAGTTTTAACATGAGCGTGTGGGTGCAGACATAAGTGTCGTGCATCAGTAAATGTCATGCATCAGTGTCTCAGAAGAAAAATGTAGAAATTATGAAAGAGATTAATAACTTCACATTAAGTAAGTTGTCCAGTAAATGTCATGCATCAGTGTCGTGATTAACATAAAGAGTTATATAGTTGTGATTTATAGACAGAGACATAAGTGTTCTATGCTAGAGTAAACTGAAGTTTCAGACATGGCAACATAGTTCGTGTGTGGGTGCAGACATGCATGTTATTTTTGTAATGATTAATTCATTATAATATCATCTTAAAATGAGGAACACTGCAAAGAATAAGCTAGGAACACTGCAATCATAGCCAACACCCTTTGCCAGATTAAAGATGTATAGACACGTTTATTGTTGTAAATGAAAGGGTAAAATGCCCACTTCAAAAGGAATTCAAGGAACATCATGCCAACACAATTGGAAAATAAATGAAAATGATATCAACACTTCATAAACATGCATGGTAGAAACAAAAGCAGATACTAACAGAAGTGATCACATAAACAATAAAAGAGAACATTCATATGCAAGGTGTGCAAAAAAAAAAAAATACTACCAGGACAAATTGTAGCTTTCTTTTGGAAAAACTATAACACTTAACTAAAATTGTAGATAGCACATATTAACAGGTTAGCAGGTTCACACTACTACAAAAGGGCTTATTAGCAACACTATTTTAGTTAAGTGTTTATAATAGAACCTAATTTAAGTGGGTCTAATAGTACCTTTCTATTTGAAACGGGCCCATCTAAAAACTTAATTAATTTAATTAAAAAATAATGTATTTCTTTAAAATAAATGGGAAAGGATCTCGAAGAGTCTGGTTAACGGAGATATTTTCGGCGGGGGTTAATAGAACTCACGCGAAAATATTGTTCAGCGCCTCTAAATTCATAAAAAAAAACCTTTTCCCTCCGATTATTCATGAAAATTTTTTCCCTCCGATTATTCATGGAAATTTTTTCCCTCCAATCTCTATCGACCCGCTTCAAGAAATTAGAAATAGAGGGAAACCCTTCGACATCTTCTCTGCTCCCACTCGATCGCTCAGGTAGAACCGTCGGCCGCCTCTTCTGAATCGCTCAGGTAGAACCGTCGGTTCAAGAAATTAGATCTGTTTTTTATTTTATTTTTCGTGCTTGTTGGTTAACATAAACGCTTTTGAACTGCTATTTGGGAATTTTTTTTTATCTTGTTTAAAGATTGAATTTTGGACTTGGATCTTCAAGGAGTTGGTTATTCTTGATGGGTTTGTAAAAATTGGACATTTTTTCATATTAATTGTTGTAATTCTATGTTCTTTTTATTTGGTCTTTCAAATTAATAATCCTTAAAATTGTGGATACTAGAGCTTTTATTGCAAAATATCAGTAATTCTCTAATTTCATGTTGATTAATTTGAGAATTAATATGTGCCAAGTGAAAATTTCCAAGAAAACGCATACAATTTGATTATATCTTTAGGACCATCAAAATATAAATTTTTTGTCATGGTTTTATTTTGGTAGCTAATTTAAATTTTCCTTATCAATTTCTATTTTTATTTACCCTTTTTTTTTACAGAGGGATCCTAATTTTCTAACTCGAAAATTCTTGATCGTGTTCTAAAGGACGTGCTTC